AGAGAAAAATTGACAAGCATTTATTGAAAATGATGCTTGCAAGCTTACCTCACTCAGTTACACACAGCCTTCTCACAGGGTTTGCAGTGATTGTCAATGCTTTTGATTGAAGATTATTGCAGGAATGTTTCTTTTAACAATCTGTCATCAAACATAACCTCTTTCGAGCTGTCAGAATCTTTGGGGCTAATGATTTCCCTTATGCCAATGTCCCGTATCACAATGCAGATATGTATTTCTATTTCCCGCACAGGTACAAATAAGATGATTAATCCTTTATCAACAATTACGTTGTTCAATTTAATGTTTTTTTTCATGAAAAAATGAGCTAATATTGTAAACACACATACAAACAGAGAGAATAAAACGCCAAAGTCGATAATACAGGAACCATCAATGCTTTGCTGGGGGTGGGGTTAGATCATAATTGTTCACCTCAACCTAACTAATTAACAATGATTGTACAAACAATAAAAACATCAAATTCGTAATGTAAAAACGATTTCCTTCCTAATATTGTAAATACACATACAAACAGAGATAATAAAACGCCAAAGTCGATAATACAGGAACCATCAATGCTTTGCTGGGGGTGGGGTTAGATCATAATTGTTCACCTCAACCTAACTAATTAACAATGATTGTACAAACAATAAAAACATGAAATTCGTAATGTACAAACGATTTCCTTCGGAATTGACCCATAATTTAGCACAATTAAGCAATGTACAGTTTTTTCCGGCTAGCATCATGCCAAAAGTTGATTAATTTTTTTAAATTAATGAGTGAATGTACAAACAAAAATTTGCATTGTACGATCATGTACTAACGATGTACAATCGAGTAAATAAGGTCGTTTTTCTAATTAGTGACCTATTCCGGCTAAGTACCTGGAGGTAATGTAGACGCCAAAGAGGATAGACCTGAGTAGAGGCCCGGATCGGGGGGTTTGACTGACTCCAAAAATGTTAGTTGGTACCCCACGGGAAAGGCGGCATCCCGATCGAATTGTCGGCAAATGTGAGACGGGTCAGTGATGCCAGATGAGGGGAAAAATCCCACGAGTGGGAATTTCGTGCGCAGCTCCCTCGCGCACTCCTCGGGTCCCCGCCACTACCGCACAGGCTCAACGCCCGTAAATAATACCCGATAAATTAAATTCCGCGATGGAACTGTCAATTAATTAATTAAAAGGAATGAAATTGATGGTATTATTATTTTTTTCAACATTTTAGTTATTAATAATATTTAATAACAATGGAGAGCTCAGTTTACTGTTAAAAATTCTNAATGTAGACGCCAAAGAGGATAGACCTGAGTAGAGGCCCGGATCGGGGGGTTTGACT